CTTAAAAAAAAGAGAGAGAGTTTCTCCTCTGGAAATGCTGGGCTGGCAGCAACTAGAACATGACTCTCTGTGGACACTTCTTTCATTACCCTCTAGGGCTTCCATTTCCCCATTTGTAAAATGAGGCTTTAGACAAATGATCACCAAGAGCCTTTCCAGTTTTGATGTAACAGGTGCCCATCCAAGTATCACATGGAATAAATGTCTCAGCAGAACCAGATTAAATAAAAGCTACAGAAGCATGTCCAGTTCATACCACCAGCTGCTGACCAATTCCGACACTGTGTCAATCCCCTCATGATCCTCTGACTAAACCATACCAGTCAGAAATTTCCACTTGTCCAGTCAAGGACACTGACCCCTTGGCCACTGATTTTGCCTGAGACCATACATACCTCAGGTTGCTGCAGAACCTGGCCTTCAGTTCCAGGGTTAGTCGTATGAAAGATGATGAAGCTTGGGAGAAGTGGGAAGAAAGCAGAGAGCAGTTTAAACCAGACTTATTACATACTCATCCTGGCACATACTGATTGCCTCCTCCCCTGCCTTCCCAAATCAAATCCTCTTCTAGTGAGACTCCTCTCAATAAAAATCACCACCATCCACCTAGATGGCAGCCACAACCCAAGGCATTACCCTGAGCTCTTCCCTCTTCTTCCTGCCCCACATCCACTGTTGCACACCCCCTAACACTGCCTTAGTTCCTGTCACCAACCTGAGCTAATGCAAGAGTTTGAACTATTTTCTCCAGCCTTGCGTCCCTCTAACTCATGGTTCACACCAAACCAAAAAGGATATTTCTAAAACAGAAATCTGAGCCTATCACTCCTCTTCTTTAAGACTCAAAGCTCCTAGGATAAAGTCCAAATTCCTCACATGACCAACAAAGCCCTGCATGACTGAGCCCTGGGGCTACTCCTCTGTGGTAGACCTTCCACTATAAGCTATGTGAGAGGAATAAAAGGCAAGGCTTTAAATGATAATGATAAGAGGCAAGCATTGCAAAGAGATTCAGAAAGCAGAAGCAGGCTCCAGAGCCAGATTCCCTGAGTTTGAATCCTGGGTACACCACTTCCAGTGCAATCTTGGACAAGTTATTCAACCTCTGTGAGTTTCAGTATGCTCCTCCATAGAATGAAGACAATCATAGTACATACTTCCTAGAGATTTTCTGAGAACTAAATGAATTAATACATATAAAGCACTTAAAACAGTATCTGACAGGGGTTCCTGAGTGGCTCAGTCGGTTGAGCATCTGACTCTTGATTTCAGCTCAGGTCATGATCTCAGGGTCCTGGGATCAAGACCTGCAGGCTCCCTGCTCAGTGAGAAGTCTGCTTGTCTCCCTCTCCCTCTACCCTTCCTCCTGTTTGTGCGTACTCTAAAATAAATAAATAAATCTTTTAAAAAAACAGTATCTAGGGGCACCCGGGTGGCTCAGTTGGTGAAGTGTCTGTCTTTGGCTCAGGTCATGATCCCAGGGTCCTAGGATCGAGCCCTGCACCAGGCTCCCTGATCAGCGGGGAGTCAGCTTCTCCCTCTGCCTCTCCTCCTAGCTTGTGCTCTTACTCTTTATCTCTCACAAACAAACAGTATCTGACAATAGTAAGAGTGTAATAAATGTTAGTTGCCATTAGTTATTAATTATTACTACCTTTCTCTCTCCTCCCTTTCTGTTTTTGGCTGTTTCCCCTTCCCATTCTCACCATCACTAATACTTTCTTTTTTTAAAGATTTTATTTATTTATTTGAGAGAGAGAGCGTGAGAAAGAGCTAGTGCAAGTGGCAGGGAGGGGCAAGGAGAGGGGAGGGGTAGAAGAGGGGAGGAGTAAAGGGAGAGGGGAGGGGCAGAGAGAGGGGAGGGGCAGAGAGAGAGCCGAGAAGCAGGTTCCCCACTGAGAGGGGAGTCTGCCCCAGGGCTCAGGGCTCAATCCCAAGACCCGGGATCATGACCTAAGCCGAAGGCAGACACTTAACCAACTGAGCCACCCAGGTGCTCCTGTATAGTAATTCTTAAAACCAAAGTAAACCATTAAAAATTTTTTTCTATGCACAAACAATACTTTTTAAAGATACTGAAAAATTCTCATTAGCACTCTAGGCCTCTGCTCTCAACACTGTGACTTACCCCCTGCCTTAACCCTCCTCCAATATGTGAACCCCTCAGGAATACAACCCATTTCTCGCTTATCTCTGTGTCCCCAGTGCCCAGCACCAGGCTTGGAGCAGATGCCTCTGTGAATATTTATTGAACTAAACTGGGCTACAGATGTGGGTCCCAGGATGCACTGCCAGCCACTGGCATTGAACACTGACCTGTCTTCGTGGATGTAGGCCAGGTAGAAGAGGAGCAGGATGCAGTACTGTCTCTGGCGAGCAGTTCCCTCCACATACTGGCGATCTGACAGGAAGGCAAGGCTTTCGGGGCTCCTGCTGCTTATCTGGGGCAGCCCATGCTGCAGGAATGCAGATACTGCAGAGAGTTCTGGGGAGGAAACAAGCAGGAGAAAGCCACATAGAGAACACAGGAAAGCAGCTAATCAGCACATGAGTACCTACTATATGAAGAGTACTGCACAGAGTAGCAGGGTACGTGTGGGATAAAAGGAAATCAGTTTCCTATTGCCTTGTAAAGCTTTCAGCCTGCCAGGAGAGACTAAAGGTAACATGTGGAAGAACATGGATACAATCCTTCATTCATTCATGGGCAAACATTCACTGAGTGGCTACTCTAGGCCAGGCTGTGACACACAGGCCCTATCTCTGGGAGCTGGTGGCTGAGAAAAGACAGATGAGACAGAAAGTTACAGGACACGCAATCAAGTGCCCCGTTCAAGTGTGGACAAGGGTGTGACTCATACCACCTGGGGTGGGGAGGACAAGCTCAAAAAGAAGGGAATTGTGGAAGGTAAGCAGAAAACAGGCAGAAAAGCGAGGGGAGAGAATCCTAGGCACAGGAAGCAAGGTGTTCAGAGGCCCAGAGGTATAAGAGGACATGTTTAGGGTGCAGCAAGGAATTCTGTCTGACCAAACCAGCAATGAATAGATGTGGAGTGTCAGGAGTTGCAAACCTGTGTGACATAATTTGTAGTATGAGAGGTATAAGTGGTCTGTGGTCTGGTCCGTGGTCTGGCCTGCGGAGAGACTAGCACAACTACTTCTGCCGTGGTTGGTGCTGCTGCACAGCATCTCCTGGGCTCACTCTGCTAGCCCCGCTGCTGCTGACAGCACCCTCTGTTTTGGGAATGGGAGGAGCCCCACATATCTGCCTCCTCAGACACTGAGGCCTTGTCAAATCTCAGAGCGCCAGGAAGAACAGCAGACCTTATTTACATGCAGACTGCTTCTTTCTTTTATATATCAGGAGAAAGGGCGGGTGGATGTGTGAAACTCAAGGATATTAGTTTCATTTTTACGATAATAATCATAGTGTGCTTTGATGGAAAAATCACTAAACTTAGAATTAGGAGACCTGGCCTGGCTCCGCTATCAAATTGCTGTGCGCATTCTCCATCCTCACCCTCCACTTGGCCCTAAGTCCACTGCCCTGGCAGGACAGACTTTTCACTTGACCTCTAACTTGGCCCCCTGCTTTCAGTTTCTCATCCTCAAACCAGTCTCCATCCATGCTGGAAAGATCTGAAAACCAAGTCTTACCCTCCTAACACCCTAGCCTTCAGCTGTGGTCCCCAAACATCAGTCTGTGGGGCATTGTCAGACAGTGATGAAAGTTCCTCTGATCTATGGTGAAATGTGGAAAAGAAGGGTAATATAGTGAATTTTCTATAAAGTTGACTTTATTCAAAGTTTAAGCTCTGAAGTCTTTTCCTTTTATACTCTTTTGGTATTAAAACACCCTTTCTCTTCTGAAACAGAGGTTTCATAGGAAATCTGTTCTCAGGATAAAATCCAAATTCTTTACTCAGTGTTCAAACTACAAATTATGTCACATAGGTTTGCAACTCCTGACACTCCACATCTATTCATTGCTGGTTTGGTCAGACAGAATTCCTTGCTGCACCCTAAACATGTCCTCTTATACCTCTGGGCCTCTGAACACCTTGCTTCCTGTGCCTAGGATTCTCTCCCCTCGCTTTTCTGCCTGTTTTCTGCTTACCTTCCACAATTCCCTTCTTTTTGAGCTTGTCCTCCCCACCCCAGGTGGTATGAGTCACACCCTTGTCCACACTTGAACGGGGCACTTGATTGCGTGTCCTGTAACTTTCTGTCTCATCTGTCTTTTCTCAGCCACCAGCTCCCAGAGATAGGGCCTGTGTGTCACAGCCTGGCCTAGAGTAGCCACTCAGTGAATGTTTGCCCATGAATGAATGAAGGATTGTATCCATGCAGAGAGCAGGACACCATGCAGAGAGGATTGGCTGCTATAGTGAGAGAACTAGGAGCCAAGCCACGTTGGAAGGAATGAAAATGTTCACCTGGGCTTCTGCCTCTCTCGGCACAGTGTTGGAGAAAAAAGAAAAGAAGCAGTGAGGTTTAGGAAATGGGGGGGCATGGCATGTCTTCATAAATGTAAAAAGAGGAAACATGGCCAGCACTACAAAGAAGGTATCATATTTGCTGAACAAATGAATAAAACAATGATTAAATTGTTTTATGTTATACCAAAAGAGGTCTAGGATAGAGGAACTCCGGGGGGCAGAGAACATGTCATAATTACCACCGTATCCACAGCAGCACTGAGGCCTCCCTGGCATGTAGCAGGAGCTCAATGACTATTCAACAGAGGGAAAAACTTCAGCTCTCGGCCCTCCATCTGCTGTTCCCCCTGCCTAGACTCTGTATGTGCTTCCTTTATCTTACTCAGACCTCTGCTAACACGCCACCTCCTCACAGAGGCCTTCCCTGACCACCTATCCAACATGCATCTCCTCCCTCCATCATCCTCTATCCCTTTGCCCAGTTTTATTGTTTTCACAGCACCTATTCATTTCTGACATTGTATCTATGTGTTTCTTGTCTCCCGCTCTCATTCCATGAGTTCAGGACTTTGGAACTCTATCACCAGCACCTGGAAAGAGTCTGGCACACAGTAGATGGATGCTCAAGAAATATTTCTTGAAGAAACAAAGAAATGGAACAGGCCATTCCAAGTATTTTGAGCAGAAGTCTCTGGAAGTAACAAGCAGAGAGTGAAAGGTCTGGCGTAAGGGATGTTACAGAGATGGCCAGGATGAGGAACTGGGCTTGATAAGCTTTGGAGTCTTTCTCAACCCTTAGAGTCTAAGGGTCCAGGAACCTTGGATTCTATTGTTTTCTGATTCTATTATCTCATCTCCCTAGGTGTTAACCTCTAGTCCCACTATTCCATGATTCCATGGTTCCTCTGGGCAGCTTCTAGCAAAGAGGTCATAATTATTGTGATATTAACTCACTACCCAGCCAATCAACAAAGGCATCCAGACTGTAAAAAGATCACCACGGACCTGATGAGTGGTCAAGCTGCAGCATCTTACCTTCCTGGGAAGGTGGTCCTGTCTTCTCTGGAGCTGAGAGGAGGTTGAGGCTCATATAGAAGAGGAAACTGGAACATACCTGATTTAGGGCTGAGTGACTTAGAGGGTAGAAAGGAAGAGAGAACAAGAGAGAGGACATTGCGACTTTGGCTGGGACAGCATTATCCCTGCTGGGGCACCACTGCCTTGTGCCAGAGCCCAGTGAAATTCTAACCATGGCCCTGGAAGAAGAGTTCTGGAGGTAGCTGTGAATAATTAATATGGAACCTGTTGCCATAGCTGTAACTTAGCACATAAGCATTCACTAAAACTGAAAAAATAAATCAAGGAGGGCTACTGAACTCCAACTTAACAAAACATACAAACAAATACAAGTGCTCCTAGGCCAGGAAAGGGCTTGGAAGTACTAGAAAAAAAAGGGAAGCTATTGAACCCAAGACAGGTAGTCAAGGAGAACTACAAACATCCAAAATTGTGACTTTGAATCCAGATGGATCCCTGTATTTGTATCCCCTCCTGAAGATTGGGTGTTCTATTCAACGATATGCAAGGAGACCTAGATACTGCATTGTGGTCACCTTGCAGGCTGTAGGCAGTAACAAACGGGATCTGTCAAGTAAATGCAGAGACAGGGGCGCCTGGGTGGCTCAGTTGGTTAAGCGACTGCCTTCGGCTCAGGTCATGATCCTGGAGTCCCGGGATCGAGTCCCGCAACAGGCTCCCTGCTCGGCAGGAAGTCTGCTTCTCCCTCTGACCCCCCTCCCTCTCATGCTCTCTGTCTCTCATTCTCTCTCTCTCTCAAATAAATAAATAAAATCTTTAAAAAAAAAAAATGCAGAGACAGGTGGCAAATCATAAATGGGAAGGAAAAGACTACTCTAGAAACGTAACAAGACAGAGACTGAAGGATCTACTTTGAACAAGAGAGTTTCTCCCCGGGGTGCCTGGGTGGCTCAGTCGTTAAGCGTCTGCCTTCGGCTCAGGTCATGATCCCAGGGTCCTGGGATCGAGCCCCGCATCGGGCTCCCTGCTCAGCCAGGAGCCTGCTTCTCCCTCTCCCACTCCCCCTGCTTGTGTTCCCTCTCTCGCTGTGTCTCTCTCTGTCAAATAAATAAATAAATAAAATCTTAAAAAAAAGAGAGAGAGTTTCTCCTCTGGAAATGCTGGGCTGGCAGCAACTAGAACATGACTCTCTGTGGACACTTCTTTCATTACCCTCTAGGGCTTCCATTTCCCCATTTGTAAAATGAGGCTTTAGACAAATGATCACCAAGAGCCTTTCCAGTTTTGATGTAACAGGTGCCCATCCAAGTATCACATGGAATAAATGTCTCAGCAGAACCAGATTAAATAAAAGCTACAGAAGCATGTCCAGTTCATACCACCAGCTGCTGACCAATTCCGACACTGTGTCAATCCCCTCATGATCCTCTGACTAAACCATACCAGTCAGAAATTTCCACTTGTCCAGTCAAGGACACTGACCCCTTGGCCACTGATTTTGCCTGAGACCATACATACCTCAGGTTGCTGCAGAACCTGGCCTTCAGTTCCAGGGTTAGTCGTATGAAAGATGATGAAGCTTGGGAGAAGTGGGAAGAAAGCAGAGAGCAGTTTAAACCAGACTTATTACATACTCATCCTGGCACATACTGATTGCCTCCTCCCCTGCCTTCCCAAATCAAATCCTCTTCTAGTGAGACTCCTCTCAATAAAAATCACCACCATCCACCTAGATGGCAGCCACAACCCAAGGCATTACCCTGAGCTCTTCCCTCTTCTTCCTGCCCCACATCCACTGTTGCACACCCCCTAACACTGCCTTAGTTCCTGTCACCAACCTGAGCTAATGCAAGAGTTTGAACTATTTTCTCCAGCCTTGCGTCCCTCTAACTCATGGTTCACACCAAACCAAAAAGGATATTTCTAAAACAGAAATCTGAGCCTATCACTCCTCTTCTTTAAGACTCAAAGCTCCTAGGATAAAGTCCAAATTCCTCACATGACCAACAAAGCCCTGCATGACTGAGCCCTGGGGCTACTCCTCTGTGGTAGACCTTCCACTATAAGCTATGTGAGAGGAATAAAAGGCAAGGCTTTAAATGATAATGATAAGAGGCAAGCATTGCAAAGAGATTCAGAAAGCAGAAGCAGGCTCCAGAGCCAGATTCCCTGAGTTTGAATCCTGGGTACACCACTTCCAGTGCAATCTTGGACAAGTTATTCAACCTCTGTGAGTTTCAGTATGCTCCTCCATAGAATGAAGACAATCATAGTACATACTTCCTAGAGATTTTCTGAGAACTAAATGAATTAATACATATAAAGCACTTAAAACAGTATCTGACAGGGGTTCCTGAGTGGCTCAGTCGGTTGAGCATCTGACTCTTGATTTCAGCTCAGGTCATGATCTCAGGGTCCTGGGATCAAGACCTGCAGGCTCCCTGCTCAGTGAGAAGTCTGCTTGTCTCCCTCTCCCTCTACCCTTCCTCCTGTTTGTGCGTACTCTAAAATAAATAAATAAATCTTTTAAAAAAACAGTATCTAGGGGCACCCGGGTGGCTCAGTTGGTGAAGTGTCTGTCTTTGGCTCAGGTCATGATCCCAGGGTCCTAGGATCGAGCCCTGCACCAGGCTCCCTGATCAGCGGGGAGTCAGCTTCTCCCTCTGCCTCTCCTCCTAGCTTGTGCTCTTACTCTTTATCTCTCACAAACAAACAGTATCTGACAATAGTAAGAGTGTAATAAATGTTAGTTGCCATTAGTTATTAATTATTACTACCTTTCTCTCTCCTCCCTTTCTGTTTTTGGCTGTTTCCCCTTCCCATTCTCACCATCACTAATACTTTCTTTTTTTAAAGATTTTATTTATTTATTTATTTGACAGAGAGAGAGACAGCGAGAGCAGGAACACAAGCAGGGGGAGTGGGAGAGGGAGAAGCAGGCCTCCCGCCGAACAGGGAGCCCGATGTGGGACTCGATCCCAGGACCCTGGGATCATGACCTGAGCCGAAGGCAGACGCTTAACGACTGAGCCACCCAGGTGCCCCACTAATACTTTCTAAGGAAAATAAAAGAGACTCTAACTCTGACTCCTGGGCTAATTCTGCAGATTGAAGTATTTACAGGGTGACAAGTAGAGAAGTGAGAAAGGAAGATTTACCCCTGAGAGGAAAAAATGACTAGTGAGAAAAGAAAATAAATAGATGCAAGAAGGCCTGGAAAAGGCTGAGGGAGTCGAGAGCCACTGGGGTTCAATTTTAAGAAGGCAGTTCAGTGTACAGCTAAACAGCAGCTTTCACACGGAGTGCCATTCCCCCCCCCACCCCGGAAGGCATCTGGAAGTATGTGGGACGTTTTTCAGGTGTCACAATGACTGGGGGTACTTCTGACATTCAGCACTCAGGAGTCAGAGATGCTAAACATCTTGTGAGGTCTGAGGGAATATCAAGTATGGAGAGCAATGTGGAAAGACATGTGTTGTGGGCTCTGAACTGGGAACTCCTTGACATTCTTAGGGAAGTATCAATAAATTTGAGAACTTACTTTAAGTACCTTTGGTTGTTAGATGGTATTCCCTTCTACTCAACACTGGGCAGAATATGGATATTGACTCTGAGTGATTACATAAACCTCCTGCCCACAGGTTATGCTCTCTTTGAATACTCTGAGCACCTGCCTCCCTCCCACTTCCACACTTGCCTGCTGCTTACCGAGTTTCTTGGAGAACTTCTCCTTCATGTGGGGAACGATGACAAAGAGGTTGTGTAGAATCGAGAGGAAAACTTCCATCAAGTTTGGGTGGGTGGCCTGCTCTGAGTGCCTCTGCAAAGAACCAGGAGAGAGAACACAGCCCACCAGGACTGAGCCTCCAAAGAAGAAAGCATCAGCAAAATTGGCATCAAATCTACAACAACAGACTAACCCCTTTCACTTGAAGGGCACAAGAAAAGCTAGAGAACCTGAAGTCACAAGCCTGCATCCAAGGCTTATATCTGCCACTTAATAAGTTGTATAAGACACACTACCTCTCTGGATCTCTGTACCAAAAAGAATAAAACAGTAATAGCACCCATCTCACACAGTCACTGGGATGATAAATTAGGTAATGACTACGAAGCATTTATCACTCCATAAACACTACCTACTTATTGTTTTATTATTACTGCTTTCTCCTTTTTCTTGAGAGGCATCTGTTAGTGTACAATGAAACACCACACTTTAGAGTTTTTGTTTTTTTTTTTAAGATTTAAAAAAAATTTTTAAGTAATTTCTACATCCAACATGGGGCTCGAACCCACAACCCCAAGGCCAAGAGTTGCACACTCCACCGACTGAGCCAGCCAGGCGCCCCCACACTTTGTTTTTAAAACCAAAGGAAAAGTGTCTGAAGAACAATACCACTGAGACCCTCAGAAGGTCCAGTTGAGTACTTGCTGCCTTGTGTCTCTCGGCCTGGCTCAGTCTCACATTCTTCTGCCCAAACTTCATGCTATCTGTAGCTCAGGGGAACCTACCATCACCAGGGGGATACAAAGGGAGTCACAGGCACTGAGAAGAAATTCTGAGAAGGCCTCCAGAGTGTCTTCCTTCTCGGCACTGGGAGCTGTAAATGGGTTCTCCTGGGCTGAAGGCTCGCTCTGGAATTCCACAGCCAACCTAAGAAATCAATGTGTAAGTATATCCACTACTACCTATACATCATAAAGGTTAGAAGCATCCTCCCAGAGAGACGCCTGTGCTCAGAGTTCAGGGAAAGTATCCCCATCAGCAGATCTGGAGAAAATTCAAGAGGCCTCAATGATGGAGGACCTGGTCCTTGGCTACCCCTTCAGCTGTGTGCTCCCCACCCCTTCTCCCATAATAATGACTGTTCTACCCTACTACATGTACTTCCCTGAACATACCATGCTACTTGCTGTTTCACGTCTCTTTGCCTTTACAGATGCTGCTCTCTCTACCAGGAATGCCTTTCCCAGATTGTGACAACTAATGAATTCCACATATATATACAAAACTGCCTCTTCCCCAGAGACTGTGGGCTCCTGTGGGCAGGAGTCAATCTGATCTTATCTTTCTACTCCCACTGTCTAGCCACAGGCCTGACACAGAGTAGATTCAAAAAACATTTGTTACCGTGAACTAAATTTTAGTCCAACAAGCATTCAGCAAACATCTATAGGGGTTCATTATTTGGGAAGAGGAACAAAGCTGAATGAGACAGAAACTCATTGTATGGTAACAAAACTTCACCAGGAGGGAATCTTTGGAAACCTCCTACTCTAGCTCCTCTTCTTCAAACCTTCTCTACACACCCCTCCACACACACACATCCCCAACCTCTGCCCCAGCCAAAGTGCTCTCACTATGCAGCAAAGCATCAGAAATCGACTATTGCTTCTAGAACTCCATCCTTAGTCTGATTCTTTCCCACCCCAACCCTCCATAATACTGCCTCAGACCACAGAGGGTTGGTCCCTCACCTGCAGGCATTTCTAAATCCCTCCAGAGTGCTCAGGAGGAAATTTCCCCTTCGAAGAATGGCCTTCTCTGAATCTCTACTGGAGGCATGACCCTGCAGTAAGAAGGAGAGAGGGGCGTCTACTAGTCAAGTACCTATTCTGTGTCCCAATCTGTGCTTGGAGGACCACAGGCCTCTTCCTCTCCCACTGGAGTCTGGCGTTCACATAAACCTAACACTTTTCAGGAGATCTTGGTTATATCCTCGAAAATCTAGTCATCTAATAACTCTTTTAAAAATGGCAGAAGGGGGAACATTAACTATCTGTCTCCCTCTGCCACAGGACTGGCTCTTGTTCTATTATATGCCGAAAGCTGTCACAGGCTGGTGGACATTAGCCTAACTGGCTCTAATGCCCATATCAGTTGCTCCAAAACACATGAAAATCCCACCCCATCAGGTGTGGTAAGCTTAGTTTCCAAAGTTAATTTTGAAAGATATAACCAGCATTCACATTACCCATATCCTTTCTGATATTTTAAGTCCATGGACCATTAAAAGCCAACAATTACAACACACTGCACATTGGTCAGATTCTTTCGAAGATTCTAATGAATCCAGCCTTAAATAATTTTGTGAGCATGTTTACCATAACTGCTTGGATGATATAAAAGACAAAGTGGTATAGTATAGTAGGTTTGGGTACAAACACCCTGGGATTTACTATACAAACTCAGATACTTGCTAGTTTGGAACCTTAGAGAAAAAGTATTTAACCCTGTGGCTTCAGTTTCCAAATCTGCAAAGATGAGGAGAAAAATCACATCTCATTATAGATGTGTGTGCATGAGAAAAAGCTATAAAGAGGCATACAAAGGTAAGACAATTATCTTCTTAAAACACATTATAGCATGATCTCCAGAAGAAACAGGCTGCATGCAGTGTACTGACCAGGGGCTTCCTGTTCAGCGGGGTCTGGGAAAAGTCTGCACAGCGGCTCAGCATTGCTTCAAGCAAGGCCCGCAGTTCCCTGTACTGCACAGGTGGAACATTCTGATGGTCCTTCCTGCAGCCAGACAGACAAAGGCAGGCTTAGGGTAAGGTAAGGGTTTTCCAAGATACCCTCAGGTTCTCAGGCAATGGGGCACAGTGTGATGGATCAGAACATGGGTCCAGGATCTGATCTGATAAAAATCCTTGCTCCAGGGCGCCTGGGTGGCTCAGTTGGTTGGGCGACTGCCTTCAGCTCAGGTCATGATCCTGGAGTCCCGGGATCGAGTCCCGCATCGGGCTCCCTGCTCAGCGGGGAGTCTGCTTCTCCCTCTCCTGCTCCCCCCTTTCGTGCTCTCTCTCTCTCTCTCAAATAAATAAAATCTTTAAAAAAAAAAAAATCCTTGCTCCAACACTTGTCTAGCTGTGTGACTTTGTGCACATTCCTCATCCTCCCTTACCCTCAGTTTCCTCATCTATTAAATGAGAGGTAATAGTAATTTCCTCATAAAAATCTTTTAAGGATCAAATTAGATAATGTATGCCAAGCACTTAGCATGACGCTTAATAGATAGTAACCCTTTTAAATGACAGCTAGGACTATTATTGCTGTTATTAAGGAGAGAGAGGGCTTTCTCACAGAGAAGGACCTCCTGGTGAAAGAAGTATTATCTAGAACTTAAGGTGCATCAAGACATGTATATGACCACTGTCCTCAAATTAGTAATAAGCTCTCTTGGGGAAGAAAGATCAAATTTGCTCTCTGTTACCTTGGTAAGAAAAACCACGATTAATAGGGAAATGTTATCAGGACTCAGACTTTATTTCAGAATAGAGAAGAACTTCCTAAGAGTTAAACTCTATAGAGGTAAAGGGGAAATTCTAGGCGGAGTGAGCTCCTCATTCTTAGAAATTATAAGCAAAGACTAGAAACTAGTTTTGGAGATTCAATCATTCTGAGTGTGGGGTAAATGTGGAAAGTAATACTTAGGGTTCATCTGAACTTTCATATTCCACAGATTCAGGGAGGCAAGAGTCATAAACTAGTCTAATAGTGAGCTCCAAGAGGCCAGAGACCAGCTCAGTCTTTTCATTTTACCTAAACAGAGCTAGATGCATTATAAACAGATGATAAATTTGAAAAGATGTTAAATGAATGAATGACTACTTGGCAGGGTATTAGGTAGTTGTATTTGTTTCCTAGGGATGCTGCAACGAATTACCATAAACCGCATGGCTTAAAACAACAGAAATTTATCCTCTCATAGTTCCAGGGGCTAGAAGTCTGAAATCAAGGTGTTGTTGGCTCCCTCTAAAGGATCTAGGGAAGAATCCTGTCTTGCCTTTTCACCACTGGTGGTTGCCAGCAATCCTTGTCATTCCTTGCCTCATAGCTGCATCATTCCACTTTCTGCCTCTTCTTCAAGTGGCCATCTGCCCTGTGTGTGTGTGTCTGTGTTACTGTATGTCCAAATCCCCCTCTCCTTATAAGGGCACTAGTCTTTGGATTTACGAGCCTGCACTGTATGACCTCATTTTAATTCAACTGTATCTAGAAAGGCCCTATTTCCAAATAAGGTCATATTCACAGGTTATGGGTGGACATGAATTTTAGAGGGATGCTATTCAACCCAGTGCAGTAACTAAAGAAAAATCTATGTCAACCCTCATCCCTGGGCCTTTTTTGAACACTGAGAGTAATCTGTTAGGCCTTCTGGGGCGCCTGGGTGGCTCAGTTGGTTAAGCGACTGCCTTCGGCTCAGGTCATGATCCTGGCGTCCCTGGATCCAGTCCTGCATCTGGCTCCCTGCTCAGCGGGGAGTCTGCTTCTCCCTCTCCCGCTCCCCCCTCTTGTGCTCTCTCTCTCATTCTCTCTCTCAAATAAATAAATAAAATCTTAAAAAAAAAAAATCTCTTGGGCCTTCTAACAGACACTCAGTTCACTGTATATAGTTAAGGCTTGATTTCCCCTTTCCTTCTTCATTTCCAGAAGCTCTAAGTTTCTATCCTACACTGATTGTCAAGCCCTGGGTCCACCACCTTTAAATTCTTTTCAGCAGTTCTCATTCCTCATTCCTCCTTCCAGTTGTGCTTCCCAGAGACCCAGTGAACCACTCCACCTCAGAGGGACCACCTCAGTAAACATTCTGGGAAATTAACATGAAAAGTAAAATCATCTCAGGATTGGTAAGCAGCCTCCTACTTAGCATTCTCCACAATTCTGACCCAACCTGCTTTCCCAGCTCCTTCATGTATTACTCGCCTTCACACAACCTGCTGGCCAGACTGGCTACTGTACCCCTAAACTTTCCCACCCACATGGTCCTTCCACAAACCTAAATCTCTCTCATCCCTCTTAGCACAGCTCAAACCTCACCCTCCTCCTTCCTGGAAGGTGCTACCAGTCCCTCATAGCACTGGACTTCTGGGAGACTTCTAGGTCTACAAGGGCACCTCTAATTGACACTGCTCTTCCTCTGTGCCTTTGTTACCCTGTTGGTTTACCCATCTCCCCCTCACTGGGATTCATGCCCCAGATTTAGAGATTCAAATCCAGGAAAGGACAGAGAGGGAAAGGAGACAGACTGAAGTTATTGCAATGTAAATGTCACTTTTTGTTTCCCTTTTTAGAACCAACCTAGAGTCAAATCACAAAGACTTCAATATGGTTACAGAAGAGACTATAAATATTAACAACCTTTACCATGTAAAATTAAAGGTATAGGGGCACCTGGGTGGCTCAGTTGGTTGGGCAACTGCCTTCGGCTCAGGTCATGATCCTAGAGTCCAGGGATCGAGTCCCAGGATCGAGTTCCGCTTCGGGCTCCCTGCTTCTCCCTCGGACCCTCCCTTCTCTTATGTGCTTTCTCTCTCTCTCAAGTAAACAAATAAAATCTTTTAAAAATTTAAATTAAATCAAATTAAAGGTACAGCTGACTGGCATTGAGAAGTAGATGGCGGGGAGGAGAAAGGAAAAGTTAGATGCTAATATACCTAGCTAACCAAGTAGGGAGTCAAGAGATACTCCTTGAAGTTGAGGGAACAAGAAATACAAGTCTTAAGTATACTATTTAAAGATTTTTAGACATAAAATATTAACTAGCAAAGATGCTAAGGGAATGTAGAGAAGACAAAATAATATGACCTAAATCTTTGTCTCTTACCAGTGACTCAATGAATAATGTCCTAAATTCATAAATAAAGTGACAGCATTATAAGCATATTGTTTAGATGTAGGGAGATAATCACCAGAACTGAAACCAAAATGAGTTACAGTTAGTTTCCTTTAGGAAGTGGGGACAGGGAACTGTTCTGTTTCATTATAAACCTGTATATTTTATTTTTTATTATTTGAATATATTACTTTGTTAGATTTTTAGAAGGGAAAACATGTAAATGAAATAAAAGTTATTTTATAAGTAAATATAAGTTTTCTCCATTACTTTTTTTCAAGATATCAAGCATCTTGCTAAGGAATAATTTCGCATCCTGATCTTAGGATCTCTTAGTCTTACCATCCATTTTGACATCCTTCATTCATACGCTTTCAGGAGTGAGGTGTAGAGTAGTGAACAAACTGACATGGTCCCTGATCTCTCGGAGATTATATCATAGTGGGGAGAGACACAAAACAAATGAATAAACAAGGAACTATCAAGTGTTTGGTAGGTGGGTAAACCCCCTAGCCTAATGGGTCGGTTAGGGAAAGATGCTCTGAATGCAACCTGAATGATGGGAAGAAGCCAGTTGTGCAAAGATTTTAGGGAAGAGCATTTCAGGCAGAAAAAACAATTTGGGGCGCCTGGGTGGCTCAGTTGGTTAAGCGACTGCCTTCGGCTCAGGTCATGATCCTGGAGTCCCTGGACAGAGTCCCAC